AAACACCAACCTTAACCACTAACCCCTAACCCTATTAACCCCTAACCATGGCCCTAACCCCTAACCCTAACCCTAAACCCTAACCCTAACCCTTACATTGTGTAATGTTGAATACATGAATTATTCTGATTTGAGCATCACATATTGTACACAGGTATTGATATTCAACAGTGTACCACAGATGTGTACAATCGATTATGTTTCAATGAATAAAAAAATACATAAATGAATAAATAAAATTTAAAAATAAATAAAAGCAAATGGAAACAAATGAACCTATCTACATAAGCAGTTGGTATATGACCACAAAGAAACCAATTATTTCAAGAGACTTTATTTTATCTGATGATTGCAATTCATTTTCTTTGGCATGAGGAATCAATGACCCTTGTAACACATGGATAATAAAAACTGCATTATGCACAACTAGTAACAGGTAGCCAAAAAAATCTATCACAATTCAAATGCAACAATCTGTCCCAACAGCATACAGTTCATATACTGTATTTTTTATTCAGGCTAATACAATTGTCTAGTCAATTTCTCCTCTTCTGTATGGGATATCAGTCAATTTGCCCAGGATACAGCTTGCAAGCTTAAGACCATTCTCCATACTTGGAATATGTATCTTCTCACCCTTATACAGTATATCAGAAACTAGATGAACAACACAGGCTGTACCAGAGCCTCACTCTGTACATCTTCCTCACTCTGCTCCCCTCCAGGGCAGTTGTCAGGTCACCCATCGTAAGGTGCCTCTCTGAAACCTTAGATTCACCCACTTGTGTGCCAGGTCCTGAATGCACTTCCCTCCCTCCTGGAAGAATGATGCCATCTCATGGGGGAGGTGCCAGTTTCTCTTCTCCATCTTTATTTATCTAGTAAAGAAAAAGATTTATAGTTCTAAGTTCAGTTATCTGGTTATCCTTCCCAGAGAGCCACAGAGCCTACTGTCACCCATTGTCCATTGCTTCACATTGGGCAAAAGAAATGAGCTGTAATTCCCTTTCATCTTGCAGTCCCCAGTTCCAACTTCCCAGGCTCTTACATTATTTGTATTGGCCCACGGGGACGCCAGATTAAAGGTTCCCCTTGAAAAACAAGGCTCCACTTGGCTCAAGATGAGAAAGAGCAGACTTTGTTTGGTAGGCTTATTGACTAAAGAGAAGGTTAAGTTCAAATGAATGTAGGACAAATACATAGACGAGCAGGCATTAAATAAGGGACCCATTCTTGACTCATTTCCACAAGCTGCTGAATACACCCTAAAAATTCTTCTTTGTAAAATACCAGCAAAGTTGCCCACACAGAAGATTAGTGTTTCCTATACATACTGAGGTTGGGCTGCAAGAGTCAAATTCTACTATCTACACCTCAAAATGACTTCAATGATCTAAGGAGATCATTTCACTGAGTAGTGGAAAGCCTATGATGCAGGATGCAACGAGAGGTTTTAAGGAGGCTTGATATGAGTTTTCTCCCACCCAAACTCTGAGGACCACTCCTCTGTCAACATGTGATCCGTGAACACAGTTCTGACAACCAGCGTATTTGGGTCTAACCCTGACCCCTAAACCTAAACCCAACCCTAACTCTAACCCTAACCCCTGTGTAGCCCTAACCCTAACCCTGATCCTGACCCTGACCCTCTGACCCTGTAACCCTGACACTAACTCTGACTCTGTGACCCTGACCCTGACCACGACCCTGACCCTAACCCTGTCCCTTAACCACTAACCCCTAACCCCTAGCCCTCTGCGTAGGTTTCTGCTCTCGTGAATCGGGTGGGGTCGGTCAGCTCCTGCCGGCGCGGCCCGCAGGTCACTCAGCTTCTGTCAGCGATGGCCGAGCTCCCAATTGCTGCTCCCGGAGGCGGGGACACTCTTACGGAGTGAAGTCAGGATAATGGCAGAGACGGGACTCGAACAGCGGTCCCCACAGCCCGGCACATGCGCACTTGCCGCCACCCAGCCACGTCAGTAGGAGCGCCCCTTGGCAGCCTTTACNGAGAACAGGCGGGGACGGGGCGGAGCTCGCCCGGCGGGCAGGGCGGGGCGAGGTGGGAAGGTGGGTTGAGGGTTTGTCGTAGGGACGAGGGCGTGACGGTCCCAACCGCAGCATGGTTCACCCTGTCGCGCGTTTCTGTCGCGCCTGATTTGCTCCACGTCCTTTCGGTGTCAATCATTCCGTTTCCTTCCTGAGAACGTCCACACGCGCCTCTTAAACAGAACAGGACGTTTTCCCGGCACTCCCAGAGCTGAGGACCTTAGTGACCCCTCACATCCGTGGTGGGCCGGGGCTGGTCCGCGGTCCGAGCTGGAC